TGCACCTCTACCATTTGCCAGCCATCACCTCCACCCTCAGAGTTGTTTTGGGGGTATGTGTAGTGACTAGCCTAGCAAAGAACAATATTACCCATGCCATTGTTTCCCATAAAGTTAGAAGTAGAGAAATCATAACCCACACCTGGAGGTAAGGTTAGCATAGTGTGAAGATGACCACTGGACCCAGAGTGGAATTGACCAAGGAAAGAGTCTTTCTCTAGCTTTATCTAAAACTTGGTACACTCAACGAAGATATGTAAGAAAGTGAATACAGAAGCAAGCACATTTAAGCTTGGCACATGGATTTGGGAAAAGGATTAGGACTCCAGAGGAGTTAGGTGAAATAAACAAGCTTGTTGTACTGACTCAATGGGAAATCATCAGTGTCTCTAAGTTTAAATACTTAGTGTAAATTGAATTACAGAATATTCCTCTATTAAATTTCATTATTGATTTTAATAGATGATTTTCCCTATATCACCAAAAAACAAACAACTCAAACACTTGGGAAGGATGGAATGGTGCTAAAGATGGTTACACTCCATAAAACTACCTACCTGAGGATTCTCACATGAAAACCCTTGAACTACACAGGTTTGAATTGCATGGGTCCACTTATATGTAAATCATTTTCAATAAATACTTGTTCTGTTTTCTTTTTCATTTCCAGTACACATTTGGGAGTCCACAGATACAGAGGGTTAACTGTATGCATTGATCTGCATCATGTTATGTAGGAGACTTGAGAATCCATGGGTTTTGGTATCTGTGGGGGTGTTGGTTTCTGTGGGGGTGTTGGAACCAATCCCCTTTGGACACCAAGGAACAACTTAAGTTTTGGTACAGTTGAAAGTTATATGCAAATTTTCAACTGAACAGGGGGTGGATGCCCCTAACCTTCATGTTGTTCAAGGGTCAACTGTAGATGTGTCTTTTTGGATATTTCAATAAGAATGCTAAGAATAAGCCCTGGCTGGCATAGCTCAGTGGATTGAGTGCGGGCTGGGAACCAAAGTGTCCCAGGTTCGATTCCCAGCCAGGGTACATTCCTGGGTTGCAGGCCATAACCCCCAGCAACTGCACATTGATGTCTCTCTCTCTCTCTCTCCCTCCCCCACTAAAAATAAATAAATAAAATCTTTAACAAAAAAAAAGAATGCTAAGAATAAGAGATTCAAGAAATAGATTTTTAAATTGTTAAAATTATGAAAAACTTTTAAAATTTTAGTTATAGTCCTCAGTGGTAGGTTAATGTTTTAGGTTAGAAAACATTTACACATCATATTTTTGAATAAATGAATAAAATCTACCCATTGAGTGTTTAATATGTGTCAGACATTGGGCATTGCTGATACTAAGTTGCAAGTGACCCCTGTCTTCCTGGAGTTATCAGCCCAGTGGTGGGTGCCAACTCTACATAACAGCAAAGGTCTGTGCACAGTGCCCTTATCACAGCTTGTGTTCTCCTGCATTGTAATTGCCCATCTACATGTCTGCTTAAATGTAACTTTTGACCAAGCAACTTTTAAAAAGGATAGGGCTCCTAGAAACTAGAGGTTTCCATAGAAACCAGAGGTCATCTTCTTATGAAATCAAGCTAAAGTTTAGATTAGTGTTTGTTTCCCATTTCAGGCAAGACAGTTCAAGAAAATTAATTTACAAAACTACCAACCTAAGCTTAGGATGTACACTACTTTAAGTTATTTTATTCCATGTGCTGTATGTTACTTAGCATTTTAAGAGTAAATTATGTATTTAGAAACATCATGGCAAGGAGCTAAGAGCGGGCAAGGGAAGCAACTTTGTAACAGGCACTAGTCTGGCTGATTTTTTCCAGGAGACTGATGGTTCATTAAGGGTTCTGTTTGTATGCAGTGATGGGGAATGTGTCCACAAAATTCTACCTACACTATGTTTTTTATCATTTATAAAGTTAACCAATCTTATTTTTAACTTTCAAAAGGTTTTATTCTATATAAGCAAAATTTAGAAAAACCACCTGTGAAGCTTCCTGGATTCTTATAAAAGTTCAGCACAATCTTGTTTCTAACAATAGACAAGTGTGACACATAAGTGCACATAAATATGTTTAAACAAATGTGTCAATGAATAAATGAATCTGAATGAGAGTGACCCCAATCTGTACTCAAAAACTATTGTTTTTTTTGCTGTTTGAGGGTTAACATTTATATTTAGAAGATTAAATAAGAATGTTTGTCAAAAAGATCCTGCTTCCTTTATAAAAATGTGTGTGTGCTGTAAACAGACAGTCTCCTTAGGGTCCTTGCTATGGGACCACCAGATGGAATAAACTAATTCGTATCATTTCTAAAACTTCCTAGAATGAGGCCAAAATTGACACCTTATAATGACATCTTTACACTTCAAATAGAGTAATAATGAATTTCCAGCATGGAATAAAATGAGCCTTCCGTTAAAGTTCTGTTATACTGTGTTCTTAATTGTTAAAAATATGACATGACTATTAATAGTCTTTCTGATTTTCTACAATTAAAATGAGAGATATATAAGATTTATATTTAGAAGATTAAATGAGAAGAAAATAACATTAACTGAGAGATGAAAGAATTCTTAAAAAAAAACAAACCACTGTCCTTATTCCAGTTTTAAACTCCACAAGCACTGAAGGGCAAACAATGCTTTTCTATCTGAGCACACTCTGGAATCCTCGGTGAGTGTAGCCAGGCGCTCTGCTATGTCCCCTCCATCTGCCTGCCAATTTTCTGTCATTTCCTCCTTCAGATGATAGGGTTTGTGTGACAAAAGTCCTTGGCTATATTTCAAAACATCTTAAACTATTTAATATTGTACCACCAAGCACCAATCTTAAAGTGTTATTTATTCTCCACAAGTCTAAATCTGTCAGAAGGCACAAAGCAGCATTCACCTTAGCCTTCATAAAGAAATGGCTAGAAAGCTCATCATATGGAAAGGAGCAATGACATACTAATTGCTCTTTGTAAAAGAAAACGAGTTTCCAGTGGCTTAGCCAACTTTTGTAGTTTGACACACAACCAACAAAACAATAAAACTAATTATTTACTATATTTCTTTTTATATTCTCCATGCACTTTTGCTAGTTTTAGAAAATTTCCTTTTCCTGATAAACAATTCATTGTGAGCTGAGAGAACCACTTTGGATTAGACTTTTTTTTTTTTCAGGATTCCAGTAACCTGATATGGAAACACAGTCACTGCTGCTCTTCTGGTACCTCCCTGCGCCTCATTCCAGACCATTCCTTTTAGGTGGTAGTAAAGTGGTGACGCACTTTACAGTTTTTATCTAAAAAGCAATGGAAAACATATAGGCAAGTGGCAATAAAAAACATATCCCCTTTTCATTCATTTTAAAGCATTTCTTTTTCATTTCATCATTTTGTGAAGTTTTTTCAAATAATTTAACTGTAAAGCTTAGTTTATAAATACTAAGAATGTTAAATTACAGTCATCTTAATTAGCAATTTGTGTCCAAAGCAAAATGAGCTATAGTCATATCTACTGCAATATATTGTGTATTTCTTCAATGTAAGAAAAACAATTTTATTTAGCCCACTCTGTAGTCTTACATGGTCTTTGTCACTGATTTTTTAGCACTTTAAAATTTTTTCCTTTTTTTCTCCTAAAAATATTTTTGTGAGTTCAGGAGCTTATTTTTTTATTCCCAGGTGGAAATTGTTTGATTATCCTCAGGTGTTTGCTTGCTTGCTTGCTTAAAAGTTCAGAATAGTTCACTGCAAAGTTGCCATTGTCCTTTACAAAAGGGTCTGATTCCAAATAATTACTGTTTGTGTGTTGTGCGTCATTTGACAATATTTCTCCTTTTCCCTTGTCAGAATTAGAGAAGTCTCATATATTGTCCGACAAATCCCCCTTTCATTATTCAGTCAGCTATACCTGAGTATAGGTTGCCTCTTTCTCTTCACCTGATCTAAAATCCACCTGAATGCTGAGTTTTTCTCACAGGAATGACAAGAAATTAGCACATGTATCCAGATCAACCCAGAAAGCTTTCCCCAGAATTCAGCCCAGCTCCAAGCAACCATTCTGCAAAGAATAAAAGGAAGCGATCCTCAAAGGTAAAGAAGCCTATCCAATTCATTTCCAGGCTTTGTAGATAGCTAAAGAGTCAGAGGGAACTTTATTTTTGGTATCAGCATTTAATTTTTGTATTTAAATGTATATATAATTCTTAAGTAAGTTTCCTTTCAGCATAAGTCACTACCCTGTCATTCTTTGCAGGGCTCCCCTTCTTTTACAGCCACACCATGTTACAAAAAATCTGTGGGGCAACAAAGTCCCTGCCCCTAAAAGAAGGTACCCTGTGCCCACAGTCCATACAACTTTTGTGATCACTAATGATCAGTCAGTTTATGTACGAGAGGAATATTGTTTTCTTCTTTCCTTGTAGGAGTCAATTTGTTAAGAGGGGTGGGTCTTTTAAATTATTTGTTAAATATATTTGTCAGTCCTGACAACACTGCAAAAACATTTTCATAGTCTTATAAACAAAGGTCATTCAACTTCTAGTCCCACTGAAAAGGTGGTCTTTCAATTTGGAAGGAAAAATCAAATTGGTCAGATTTCTAGAGCATTGTTTTTCTTTTTAAAGAGTAATATTTTTTAAAGTCTATAAGAAGGTAAAGAAAATTTTTTGAAAAAATATAAAATCAGGCTAGATTAGTATATGTCAGATCAACTTAGAGAACCTGAATAAAAATTCAGTAAAGTTTTACTTTCTGAAATAATTACATATTTAAGTTTTCTGATACTTCTAGATAAAAGGCATGAAAATATGCAAATGGAGATTTCATAGGATGAATTTAGACTAGTAGAAATGTAAAATTTATGTGTTAAGTGTTTATTTCTTATGCCAGATAATCTTTTTCTTTTTTAAAGAATTAAAAATAATTATTCTTTACTAGATGATAGTCCATTAATTATTTATAGCCACATCACTGTACAAAAATAAATCTGCTCACCAGTTTCTAGAGGATCTTGCTTGCCCAGATGTAGGATTTTAAGAGTGGCTTCAGGGAGAGTCTTGGAGGAGGAGACGCAGAAAGTAAACACATGATTTCTACAGCACAGCTGCTGAGAACTCAGAAAAGAGGCATGGGGTCCTGACCATTCATCTGTCTTTAAGGTTACTCTGACATCTGAAAGCAATTGATATCCTGAGCCTTCCAGCACTTTGGGCGCACGCCTAACACAAGATAAATATAGATTCCTGACACCTGAGCCAGATGAAATTGAAGTTAACTTGAAAAATCTCACTCATTTTGTGTCTTGGTTGAGGAAAATAAAACCTTTAATCCTTTTCCTGTTAAAACCTGTTATATCCCTTAACAGATAGCTACAGTGCTTAAGAAAAATAGTACATAATTCAAATAATCAGTCACTGATAATCAGCTTGCTTCTCTACTTGACCATTTTCTGTGATAGTGTTGAGACAGGTTCAAATTTTCTTTTCTTGATTAGGTATAAGAGAAAGATAATAGTGAATATCAAGTATTATTTATTTGACAAATTATTTTTAGTAACTTGTGGGGAAGTCCTTGAAATGTGAATATCTTTGGTAAACTTTCTAGTATTTTTTCTCTTTTATATAGTTTCAGTAGTAATGATTTTTTTTTGTTTACCTCAATTCATGTGGCAGAAAGTGTTATGTATTGTCAGGGTATTTTGATTTAAATTTTTTTTTTACATTTGAAAAATCAACATGCATGTCAGTTCTTTTTGTTCTTTTTGTTTGTTTGTTCATTATAGTGCTTAACTTTATATTTATTGGTTGCACCATTACAAATGTCTCCAAAATTTTCCCCTTTGCCCACCTCCACCCCAATACTTTTTTCATAATGAAAAGGGTTCTTAGGCAGACTGGTGCAGCACTGTGGAAAGCAGTATGGAGTTTACTCAAACAATTAAAAATGGAACTTTCTCATGACCTAGCAATTCCACTTTTGGGAATATATCCAAAGAAACCCGAAACACTAATTCAAAAGAATATATCAATGCCTGTGTTCACTGCAGCCTTTATTTACAATAACCAAGATTTGGAAGCAGCCCAAGTGCCCATCAGTAAATGAGTGGATAAAAAAGTTGTGGTACATTTACACAATGGAATACTACTCAGTCATAAAAAAGAAGAATTTGCCTTTTGTGACAGCCTGGATGGACATGGAGAGTATTAGGACCCTTTTCATTATAAAAAAAAGTGTTGTTTGTGTGTATAAAAGTTTTTTTTTATTACTTGAACTAGAAACTTGTTAAACAAATGTCTTATCAAAGAAGTGAAAAACTAAAAATTCAGTGAACACAGGATCATATATATTTTCTATGAATCATAATATATATCATAGCATTTCTCCAACATTGTAAGCACTGTCATTTTTAAATATAAATTATGTCTTATAAATAAGAAGAAGACATCCTGAACTTTTTTCTATAAATTATATATTCATTATCATTAAATTGTTCACTCCCTCCTGGGCATCAACTATGAAGGGTGCATGGTGATAAAAAGAATAGGGATGGATAGAGCTGAAAAAACAAACAAATAAAAATAATGAAAAACAAGACTGGCTGATAGAAAACAGTCTGGTGGGTTCTCAAAAAATTAAGAATGGAATTACAATATAACCCAGCAATCCCTCTCCTAGGCCTCCACATGAAAAACTTGAAAACATGTATTTACAAAGATACATGCACCCCTATTTTCATTGCTGCATTATTCATGGTGGCCAAGATATGGAGACAACTAGAGCCCTTCAATAGATGATTGGATAAAAAGATGTGGTATATATATACTATGGCATACCTCTCAGCTATAAGATGAAATATTGCCATTACTGACAACATGGATGGATTTTGAGAATATTATGGTAAGTGAAATAAGTCAGCCAGAAAAAGCTAAGAACCATATGCTTTTACTCATATGTGGGATATAAAATTGAAACCCATCATGGACAAGGCAGCAGTGTGGTGGTTGCCAGAGGGAAGGAGGGGCAAAAGGGGACTTAATATATGGTGACAGAAGATGGTTTGACTTTGGGTGCTGGGTAGACAGTGCGCTATACAGAACTTGTATCATAGAAACGTATGTTTGAAACATATATGATCTTATTAACTAATGTCACCCCAATAAATTTAACAAGAAAACCCACTTTAGTTCATATGTTGCAGATATAGCAAATTATACAAAGTATTTTCAAAGAGAACATTTTCAAATGGAGTAGCAACTAAATTGAACATTTTAGCATTAAATTGAGAAACAGCAAACAGAAAGGACTACATTATGCCAGCAATAAGTCAACATCAGATCTGAACAAGTGATTAAGTTTTAGTTGGTGTCACTAATGTTTTACACTTGATTCACCTGAGTGTTCTTTTTTAAAACAAAGTAAAAGGGCTGGTGGGGAGAGGAAATGGAGAACTATTAACTTTTTCAAAATGGAAATTCCTGGGACTTCTAGCCAAGATGGAGGTGTAGGTAGATATACTTTGCCTCCTTCCACAATCAAAAGAAGGACAACAACAAATTTAAAAACCAAAAACAACCAGAATTGCCAGAAAATCAAACTGTATGGAAGTCCAACAACCAAGGAGTTAGAGAAGAAACATTCATCCAAACTGGTATCAGGGGTAGAGATGGGCAGCTGGGCAGAGAGGACTCTTGGCAGGTGGAGGCTGGCAGAACAGATGGTCCCATATTTGCATGAAGATAAACTGGGAGGAACAACTGGGGAGTGAGACCACACAACCCAGGGTTTCATTGTGGGGAAAAAAGCCTCAAAACCTCTGACTGTGAGGGTTGAGGAGGCAGGAGAAACTCCCAGCCTCAAAGGAGAGTTCATTGGAGAGACCCACAAGGTCCTAGAATGTACATGAGCCCACCCACAGGGAATCAGCACCAGAAGGGCCCAATTTGCTTGTGGGTAGTGGAGGAAGTGACTGAAATCCTGGGGAGAGCAGAGCAAGTGGCATTGTTCCCTTTTGGACCCCTCCCCCACATACATCACCACAACTCAGTGACTGGGTTGCCCCATTCTAGCGAATACCTAAGGTTCTGCCCTTTACTACATAACTGGCACACGGAGACAACAACAACAAAAAATGGCCCAAATGAAAGAACAGATCAAAGCCCAGAAAAAAATAGAACTAAGCAATGAAGAGATCTCTAACCTATCAGATGCAGGGTTTAAAACACTGGTAATCAGGATGCTCACAGAATTGGTTGAGTATGGTTGCAAAATAGAGGAAAAAATGAAGGCTATGAAAGTGAAATAAAGGAAAATGTACAGGGAACCAACAATGACGGGAAGGAAACTGGGACTCAAATCAATGATTTGGAACAAAAGGAAGAAATAAACATTCAACCAGGACAGAATGAAGAAACCAGAATTCCAAAAATGAGGAGAGGCTTAGGAACCTCTGGGACAACTTTGAATGTTCTAACATCAGAATCATAGGAGTGCCAGAAGGAGAAGAGGAAGAGCAAAAATAATAATGAAGGAGAACTTCCCCAGTCTAGCAAAGGAAATAGAGTTCCAGGAAGTCAAGGAAGCTCAGAGTCCCAAAGAAGTTAGACCCAAGGAAGCACACAAAGGTACATCATAATTACATTACCCAGGATTGAAGTTAAGGAGAGAATCTTAAAAGCAGCAAGAGAAAAGCAGAGAGTTACCTACCAAGTAGTTCCCATAAGACTATCAGCTATCAGCTGATTTCTCAAAAGAAACCTTACAGGCAAGAAGGAGCTGGAAAGAAGTATTCAAAGTCATAAAAGGCAAGGACCTACATCCAAGATCACTCTCTCCAGCAAGCTATCATTGCTATCCAGCAATGGAAGGACAGATAAAGTGCTTCCCAGATTAGGTCAAGTTAAAGCAGTTCATCATCACCAAGCCCTTATTATATGAAATATTAAGGGGACTTATCTAAGAAATAGAAAATCAAAACTATGAATAGTAAAATGACAACAAACTCATAACTATCAAAAACTGAACCTAAAAAACAAAAACTAAGCAAACAACTAGAACAAGAACAGAATCATAGAAATGGAGATCATATGGAGGCTTATCAATAGGGAGCGGGAGGAGGGAGAATGAGAGAAAAGATACAGGGGATAAGAAGCATAAATGGTAGGTACAAAATAGACAGGGAGAGGTTAAGAATAGTATGGGAAATGGAGACTCCAAAGAACTTATATGTATGACCCATGGACATGAACTAAAAGGAGAATGCTGGTGGTAGGAGGAATGCAGGACAGAGACAAATAAAGGGGAGAAAAAATGGGACAACTGTAATAGCAAATCAATAAAATATATTTAAAAAAGGAAAATTGGAAAACTGGCAGAAATAAATTCTAACAAAGTTAAAAAAAATTTCTGGAGATGGGTTTCAGTTCAGTAATGCACTTCAGTAAGACCCTTAAAAATAGTTAAGATGGTAAATTTTATAACTAGGTTGAGACCCTAACCTTCTTCATCCAGAGAATAGTCACTTTTGAATTTAACTTCAGAATTAAACATTTCATCAGAAAATTTCAATTAAACTCAGGGTTCTCACTCCAAAAAATTGGTGGCCTTTCAAGTGTTTACAGCCCTAAAATTCTGAACTATACAAAATCAAAACCTCATGTGGTTTTTGTTGCACAACAAATGACATAACATTAAAGCAGTAAAGCGGTATCAACCCTGCTGCTTACAGCAGCTGTTGCCAGCTGTTAATAGAATATTCTTCTCAAGATATTGTATAACTTCCCACTTCTATGTCAAAATGCTTTCTCAGAACAAGCACTTAAATTTACTGGTACATATACAAAGCATCACTGATAGAGTGGCAGTAGTACTCATATCTTCTCTCCTTCCCAATACCTCCCCAAATCAGTTTCTCTGTTGCTTTCAGGGAGCTATTGCTTTTTCAGAGAGCATTCTTCTCCAGTCAGCCAGCATCTAGTGTACTTTGTCGATTACTATCAGTACTGACTATGTCCTTAAGTATGTCATGATGGATGTGTTTGGGACTTTAATAATATTATGCTGTAAAAAATTCCCTTGAGAGGCCTGACAGGTGTGGCTCAGTTGAGTTAGCACTGGTCTGCAAACCAAAAGGTCACACTGGTTCGAGTCCCAGTCAGAGCACACACCTGGGTTGTGG